TCGGTACTTCGTTCCAGTTGCCTCTTGGCCACCATGCAAGACCTGAATCAATATTACAAAGACCCGAAAAAAGGAGATGTAACTGATGAAATTGGTACTTACCAATAGAAATAGGTACTGAAAGATGAAAAAATGAAGTGAATTACAGAGGTGTAAGAAAAAGAAACGGCGTCAAGAGACGGCTGGGGAAAGACAATCTATGATAATTTCAACCCAGGAAGATCCCACCAGGGATTTTATATTGATAAAACCACCGCATTTTACAGACATTTTACATGGAGGCTACTGGCTGAATCCCGGAAATATAAATTCAGTTAGACCAGCCTAGCCAGTATGTCCATTGTTGGCAACAATGAATAAAAATCACGACTTCGGTTACGCAACTAAAAGTCTACTTGGTATGGCTCATAGTTTTGTGTGTATCTTGATAAGTTCATCACTTTTATTTAGGTATATCTTTCTGTAATTGGTGTAAACGGCAAGTTTTACTTATGGGCAATGGAAATGACGTCTAGACGGCAGCCTAGTCAAAATTATCGTGATTTTTGTTTAATAGTCATCTGGACGCCGTTTTTCAATCATGCAATTTTCACAGGTGGAGTGCTCTCCATGGGTCTAACGACCTGGTGCAAGCCCGAGGTACTTCTCCATGGTTTATTTTCCCTGTACTGCCGAGAATAAAGACATTATCTCCATGCTTTCGGCGAATCGGCCACAGCACGTGAGTAGTTCTTTTTTGTTGTTCTGGTTCTGTGGCGTCAGAACTAATTTAAATACAGTGCAGTACGCGGGGAAGTACCCTCGCACATATATTTTTTTTCAATTTAAACTAATGAGTTCATAAATAGCATTAGAAGATCTGTATAAGTTTAAATAAATAAAAACAAACAATAATATGATACTTTTTGTGGCCGTTTAACGGAGTGTGTACGTTTAACATAAAACCGAGGTGAAGTCATTTTACTCCAGATAGAATTATACTATTTTTCAAATTACTGGAAATAATTTTAAATAAAAAAAAAAAAAAAAAAAAAATAATTTTAAAAGTTTAAAAGTTACCTTGTATTATGATTATGTATCGAGAAACTATGGTTCCACGCTCGTTAAATTTGACAATTTATGTCAGTTTAATGAGCATATTTTCGTACTTTTATTGCTTAGGCAGTTACAAATTGCTTTACTTTTATGCTTTGAATAAGAAGAATAAGGAAGGGCATAGTACTATCCATGTATTCCTGCATGGTGGGCGGAAAACCCACCATAAAAGCTCTCTAGGGTGGGGATCCTTGACAGTTCTGTTTGACGATTCATTTGACACATTTGAATTTGATTTGAAATTTTTTGGATTTGTCAGTCTTTACAGAACTTATTTTATGTTATTTATTATTTATTCTACTACTGATACTGATATTTGTTTAAAGTTAGTAAATCTAGATGGAAATTGTGACAAAACTTAAATTAACAGTGACTATCGCGATTTATCGAAAAGACTCCTAAAAATAGTTAGTTATTGGCACGTGGGGTAGATCTCGGCAAAAATCAGGTGAAATAATGGAACAACTTTTTCGCTAGTAAGTGACTATATATAATATATACATGCGATGTAGTAAACCGATCATTTTGAAATTCAGCAAATTAACTAAATTATACTTATTTTTCACATTTTTGGCTTTTTTATGTATTACTTGTCAAAGATTAGATGTCAAAGGATTTAGATACGTCAATTTGGCACCTGCTTTTAGTAGCGTATCGGATGTTAGTGTTAATAAATTGCATTACAACTTATCTATTTTTTATTAGAATTATATTTTATAACAATTTACAATAACTACCAACATTTATTCATAACGTAAAATAAAACATGGATTATTAGGTCTACCCATTCTAGCCTACTTCATAGTTTTACATTTTTAAAATAAAAGATTTTTTTTAAATTAAATTAGAACTATTAGGAATTTAAGTCGGCCATATTTGGGGCCCATCGCGGTGTACCTAAGATTTTGATATGCTCCTTCCCTTAGTCTTCACCCATTCAAAGCTTTTATGCCTGGGGTTAAAATTACTTTTTTATACTTTTTTTTTTTTTTATTTAAATTAACTTTTGTGACATTTGAAAAACTAATTTCCCTTGCCAATTGAGAAAGTTCAGTTTAATATTAAACATTGTCTTAATAGAAATGGTATATACGCTGTCAAATGTCACAAAAACCAAAGTATCCTAGGATATAATTATAATCATTTTTTTTTCTAAAGATCAGCTTGTGTCAACAAAGTGGGGCAGATGTTGCTCAATTAAGTGTGGGTTGATGGTCAGTGGGTGGTCTCAATCAGGTAATGTCTAGGACCATGCATAGATGAAGCTAACTATCAGTTTTAAATGTAATTATATTTGTTTACTTTTAGTCACGTGGTTAAGCTTGACCGGTACAGCGTTGCCCACTTGTACATATTTTCTTTTAAACAAAATATTTTAGGAAACAAAAATAAATTAATTATAAATATATAAACTGTGTATGATTGTAAATAAAAATAATTATTTTTCAAATTTTACTGATATCTACAGAGATTATAATTCATTATCTGACTAAAAACACCTTTCAGATAAATCCTTAAAGGCTTATTAGTTCCCAACCGTTAAATCAAAATAAAAAAAAATAATGGGCACTATGAAAAAAATTATATAACAACCTCTCACAGTGTGAAGATGCTTTTTTCCCTGAATAAATTGTATTTTATTTTTTTGGTTCCTCTTCTTGTTGGTCTGATGGTTGAATATAAAGCCCCGAGTTCAAATTAAGTTGTTCTGATGGTACTTCAGGCGATGAAGTCTTGATTGAAATAATTATTTTTCAAATTTTACTGATATCTACAGAGATTATAATTCATTATCTGACTAAAAACACTTTTCAGATAAATCCTTAAAGGCTTATTAGTTCCCAACCGTTAAATCAAAATAAAAAAAAATAATGGGCACTATGAAAAAAATTATATAACAACCTCTCACAGTGTGAAGATGCTTTTTTCCCTGAATAAATTGTATTTTATTTTTTTGGTTCCTCTTCTTGTTGGTCGGATGGTTGAATATAAAGCCCCGAGTTCAAATTAAGTTGTTCTGACGGTACTTCAGGCGATGAAGTCTTGATTGAACCAGCACAGTGGCGTAGTGTTTTTATTTAAGTACGTAAGTAATTCTTAAACTAGATGTTTTTTTATTTATTAGTAATAATTTCAAAAAAGTAAACTCAACAAGACACACCATCCTGTGATACCAAAAATTTTTTACAAGAACCACGCTTCTTGAGAAAATACATATCGAAGATTATTTGACGACCGTTTAGTTATAACGTTTTTGCATCACTATTTTTTTAGTATTTCAGTTACGTTATGAGATTCATAACA